ACATCCTCCAGCCCTTAATTTTTTTTATATCTTTATTTTGTTTGTTTAGTTTTTGTGGTGCTGGGGATCGAACCCAGTGCCTCACACTTGCTAGGCAAGTGCTCTACCACTGAGCCACCACCCTAGCCCTCCAGCCCTTAATTTTGAAACAGGATCTTACTAAGTTGCCCAGGCTGTCCTTGAACTTGTGATCCTCCTGTCTCTGTCTACTGAGTTGCTGGGCCATTGTGCCTGGCCCCGTTCTGCTTAGTGATCTCTATCCTGTATCCCCTGTACTCCTTCCTTTCCTGTTCTTTTATCCTATTCCCAATCTTTTTTTTTTTTTTTTCAGAGTAGAAATTAGAAGTTTATTAAAGGACAGCAGAAAAGACTTCTCCTGGAGGAAGAAGGGGACCCAAGAGGTGGAATCCCCCTATTCCCAATCTAACACTACTTTTCTACCCCTTACCATGCCCTTCCATCCTATTCAGGTCTTCCTCCTTTCTAACATCTACTTCCCCTCCCTTCTGAGTCCAGTACATTATACCCTGCCCCTGAACTTGAAGGTTCCATTGTTCCCAGGGTTTTTAAAGTATACTCCAAATGCTGAAGAGCAAGCAGTACTGTGAGCTCTGTGTGGTTGATGGGATTTTTGTATGTGATCTCTCCCTCCCTCATCTCCTCTCCAGTGATCTCCAATAGAGCTTGCATTTCTCTTCCTGCAGGAGGGCATGGAAATCTTCCTATGTCCCCTGCCCTCCCTAAGTGTGAAAAACACCCTAAATTATTCAGTGACTCTCTGGGAGTCAAGAGGTGCAGGTCAGGTTTCCAGCCTTACTATGTCCAGGGCTGTCACTAGTTGGGGGGAGGCAGGGAGATTGAGAACATATGTGGGGTAGGGGCCTAGAGTATGTATGAATCTTCTAGGTCACATTACCCGCCTTTCCTGATTTTTTTGGAGAGGGTACCAGAGGTTGAACTCAGGGGTACCCAACCTCTGAGCCACATCCTCAGCCCTCTTTTGTATTTTATTTAGAGACAGGGTCTTACTGAGTTGTTTTTTTTTTTTTTTTTTTTAAAGATAGAGTGAGAGAGGGAGGGAGAGAGAGAGAGAGAGAGAGAGAGAATTTTAATATTTATTTTTTAGTTTTCGGCAGACACAACATCTTTGTTTGTATGTGGTGCTGAGGATCGAACCCGGGCCGCACGCATGCCAGGCGAGCGCGCTACCGCTTGAGCCACATCCCCAGCCCCCTTACTGAGTTGTTTAGTGCCTCGCTTTTGCTGAGGCTGGCTTTGAACTCGTGATCATCTTGTCTCAGCCTCCTGAGCTACTGGGATTACAGGCATGTGCTACTACACCTGACCCCTTCCCTGTTCTTGATCCTAGGTGTGTAATCCCTGCTTTTCTGGCTGGAGAAAAGTCTATTGTAGGTCAGAGGCTTGGTGGGGGTAGGTTGGAGGTTGGGGTTTATACACTTCTCTCCTGGTGGTAAACAATAAAAATTTGGGTGCTAAGTCCATCCCACCTCTGTGGGACCAGTGTGTGTGTGTGTGTGCACGTGCACGCTTTGGGGGTAGGGGGAATGCAGGCTGTCACTGGATGTTAGAATCAGGCCCATCTAAGTGGGTGTGGTTGCACACACCTGTAGTCCCAACTATTCAGGAGGCTGAGACAGGAGAATCACTTGGGCCAAGGAGTTTGTAGCCAGCTGGGCAACACAGCATGATAGTCTCAAAAAAAGTATTTTTAGTTGTTCCAAAGGAAATGAAATATTTACGTCTATACTTAAAAAATATTTACAGAATCTGTTTGCTTGAAAATTATGAAGTGGTAAGACAATAAGCTAAGGAAGGCTTTAAAAGAGTCAATAGATTGGATCCCTCAACATAGAAAAGCTATCAATTTACAGGTTTAATAATTTTTTTTTGATACCAGGGATTGAACTCAGGGGCACTCGAACACTGAGCCACATCCCCAGCCCTATTTTTGTAATTATAATTTAGAGACAGGGTCTCACTGAGTTGCTTAGCACCTTGTGGTTGCTGAAGCTTGTTTTGAACTCGCAATCCTCCTGTCTCAGCCTCCCGAGATGCTGGGATTATAGGCGTGCACCACTGCACCCAGTTTACAGGTTTAATAAATTTTTGTTAAAGTCCTAAAAAAAAAAAAAACAGAAAAAGAATCAGGCCATCCAGTAGTAACAATTACAACAATAACGTGAGATTCCTTTGCTATGTGAATATTCTTGATTTTAAGGATGGATAGGGTGAATAGTGAGATGGTAATGTGTTATTCACTTATTCCTGCATTTCTTATAGAGTAGTGAATTTGAATGATGAATATCAGACCCATCTTATTTATTCAAGACATTTCTCCAAATCTGTCAATAACAACTAGTTGTTCTTCACTGTCCCAATCTATTTAGTGTCTGAGTTCTGAGTCAGGAAGATTTCTTGGAGTTCAGACAGTGAAACCTAACTGAAGGTACTTTGTGGTCCCATCTTACATAGTGAGAAGTGAAAGTTCAGATAATCAGGGATAATGACTCCAACTCAAAAGGTATTCAGGAAGGGCATGGTGGCGCACGCCTGTAGTCCCAATAGCTTGGGAGGCTGAGGCAAGAGGATCACAAGTTCAAAGCCAGCCTCAACAATTTAGTGAGGTCCTCTGCAACTTAGCAAGAGCCTATCTCAAAATAAAATATATAAAAAGGGCTAGGGATGTGGCTCAGTGGTTAAGTGCCCCTTAAATGGGTTCAATCCCTAGTATCAAAAAAAAAAAAAAAATCCAGGGGCTGAGGATATGGGTTTGTGGTAGAGTGTTTGCCTAGCATGCACAAGACACTGGGTTCTGTCCCCAGCACAGTTTAAAAAATTTCAATTCCTATATTTGATAGTGAGAGTTCCAACAATTTATCTGAATGTATTTGGTTTCTGCATTTTTACTTTGGTACCTGGGATTGAACCTAGGGATGTTCTACCATTGAATTATACCCCCAGCTCTTTTTTTTTTTTAATTTTGAAACAGGGTCTTGCTAAGTTGCCCAGAGTGGCCTTGAATTCCTCAGCCTGGAATTATAGGTGTGCCCCATGGCGTCCTTGTTTCCTGAATTTTTAATTTTTAATGTTGAGTTGAGGGAGAGGTTGGAGATTAGGGAAAACAGCCCTGTTTCAAAAAATGTCTGGTTTGGCAAGTAGGGAGGGTTTGGAGGCTGAGGGATACTAGCTGTCTTTGAAATGCATCTGAATATATTTATATCCTGATTTTGGATAGTGAGAGTTCAGACAGCTTATCAGAGAGAAAATAGGTCTGTTTCAAATTTATCCAGTGAGGTTGAGAGACACCGGCTGCATCTCAAAAAACAAAACAAAACAACAACAACAAAAAAACCCCACAACCCAGTCCAGATATATCTGTTTGATTCCTGAGTTCTTTGGGGAGGAATACTTGTGATTATGACAGCCATCATAACTGAGCACTTACGGTAGTCTATTAACTGATTTAATGCTCACAACAGCTCTGTGTGCACTACATACTGTTCTCATCATCCCCATTTAACAAATGAGAACATTGAGGCACAGAGACATTAAGTGAGTTGTCTAAGCCGGCATACAATAGTAAATGACAGAGCTGGGTCAAATCCCACATCTACAACTTATTAGCTGTGTAGTATCCATGGGAGACTCAGGACCCACTGGAGTAGGGCTGAGAGTTTGGGCCATCTTCCAGGCTGTTAAAAATCATCAGAGCGGGGCTGGGGTTGTGGCTCATGGTAGAGTGCTTGCCTAGCATGTATGAGGCACTGGGTTGGATTCTCAGCACCACACATAAGTAAATGAATAAAATAAAGGTCCATTGATATCTAAAAAAAAATTTTTAAAAAATCATCAGAGCAATGATATGTGTGGGTGACTCTGCCCTACTTGTCTAAATGGCCAAGGAGGTCCAGCTACCTACTCCTCTCCACTTCCCTGCACCCCAATCCATCAATGGATGAGTTTATTATTGTTATTACCAGTCATTAATGATGTGGTGAGTTTCCTTGCACTTTGAAATACCTTCCAGAGTTCCTTTGGCCTTTATTATCTTTATACTCACCTTTTACCCATTTTATAGATGAGGGAACCTAAGCCTTGAGATTCAATCTGCATTGCCAGCCTCAGTCTCTTGTCCCTGTTGGCTCTGATTTTATATACATCTCACTTCCTACCGTCCTAACATTCTTGGTGGCCCGCAAGAGGTGGCAGAGGCCATGGCCAAGAAAACACTCCCCACTAACACCGAGCTAGTTGCCCACCTTTCTGTTGTCCGACTCCACCAGCTCTGGGCAGAGAAGGAGGGAAGAAGGGGGAAGTAATGAAAGGGGCCTTTGTGTGCCACACCGGAAATCTCACACCCAGGAAGAAAGGTGGGCAGGGATGGCAGGAGGCCTTAATAGCATGTGACAAAGGGAACTCTCTTGCTTGGCACACCTGCCAAAATAGGGAGAGAGCATTCCTCACACTCTGCTCTTTCATGTTGTAGCAGGGCTGCTGCAGGGACCTGGGTTAGGTTTGGGCCTTGAGGTCACAGAGCAGACGATCCCATATGGAGCACAGGATGTGTGGTGTGCGCTGGGACAGGCCCAGAGCCCATGTGGTGTTGTCCTTACATTGTAGGGACTTGGAACCCTCAATTTCCTTGTCTGGCATGAAGCCTGACTCCTGTCCAGAAATGGCAAGAGGAAGAAATGAAGGAGACCCAGCAAGGATGTGAAGAAGCCTGAACCTCCTTCCTACTCCTCCTCCTTCAGGAGCAACCTCTGCCTGCCTTCAGACCCAAGATTCTGATTCTACCTGCTTTTTTTGGCGGGGGAGGTGAATACTAGGGATTTAATCCAGGGGTGATTTACCACTGAGCTATATCCCTGGCCATTTTTTGTTAAATATTTTTAAAATATATTTTTAGTAGTAGATGAACACAATACCTTTATTTTATTTATTTATTCTTATGTGGTGCTGAGGATCCAACCCAGTGCCTCACATGTGCTAGGTAAGCATACTACCACTGAGCCACAACTCCAGCCCCGCCCCAGCCCTTTTTTCTTTTTTTATTTTGAGACAAGGTCTCACTAAGTTTCTGAGGCTGGCCTTGAATTTATGATTCTCCTGTCTGAGCCTCCTGCACTGCTGGGATTACAGGCAAAGGTCCCCTCCCCCACTCCACCTGCTCTTGTGGGTAGTGATCTGTATCAGGCCTCTTCACCTCTCTGAGCTTCAGCTTCCACATAAGTACAATGGCTCTGAGAAGGTAGGCCTATTACATTCTTCCATGTTTGTAGGACATAAATTATTGTGGTTGGTTTACTAGGATTACTTCTTCTGGACCTGTGGAAGGCTGTAGGGTCTTGAGATCTGGCCTCTTAGAAAGGTTGACTTCCTCTGTCCCCAACTTGGAAATTTACCCCAATGAATTACTCCAAGGACTTCTCCCACCCCACCTTGCCCTAGGAGGAAGGGCAGGGGCCTTGGGAATGTGATACATACTCCTAAGAGACACAAATTTGGTGTAACACCTGAGCCTCCAATCTGTTTTACAGTTCCCCAGTCCTCTGGTCCCCCAACCCCAAGGCGCTACCATCAGCAGGCAGGCTCTAGTCCTCTGGAAATCTGGGCAGCATGAGAGGCAGTGTGTATTCCAAGACTCTTAGCTCTTCTTTCCCAGGTCTCTACTTAAGTATCTGAGGTGAGGGGGGGTATTCCAAATTCTCTACTTGGCCATGCAGGGCACTGTGAAGGGACTAGGCCCTGAGGCTGCCCTCCAGGGATAGCCCTAGCGCTAATGGTAGACAGGCAAGGGTTAAAAGGTGTGGGCCGGCCCAGTTCCTGGCCAGGTAGGCTGGGCCATTACCTAGTGGGAGGCAGCCAAGGCATCCGCCACTGTTGCTCACTGCCACTGCCAGCCGATTGAGACAACTATTTTTTTTTTTCTGAGGTACCCGAAGCTACCCCACAGCACTCTCTGACATTGGTGAGCACCTGGGAGTAGTGGGCCCAGGGGTGGGGGGGATGAGAGCATTAGGAACCGGGGTATGGTGTACTAAAGTTCCCTTCAGAAGAGAGCCAGGTCTGTGGGAGAGGTACACCAACAATGTGGGGTGGGGCTAGGGGGGTGTTCAGCACAGAAGGAGGGCCTGAGAATCACAAAATGTCCTACTTCCTTTCCTGGGACAAAGTAATTTGGGGCCGGAAATGGACGAAATGGACAGGGGAAGGATGGGGGAGAAGACACATGAGTTCCCCTTCTCCACTCCCCTTAACTTCCTCTCTTCCTTTCCTCCCTGCCAGAGTAGCTTCTGTCCTTCTGCAACCCAAGGCCAATGCTTCTGAGAAGCCAGACTGAGCTGTTTGAAAAACCATTGTCTAGACACCTGCCTGCCCACTCCCTGTTTGTTCACCTAGAGTGGAGAAAGCTGGCACAGGGGGACTCAGGGGGCAATTCAGACTTTGAGAATGTTCCAGGGGTGTCAGTGTGTGGAAATGGGGGGTCTTGGTGACAGTGTTGGGGTGCCACCCCGGTGAGGTGTCTTGGTTGTAAACAGTCATTACAGCCAGGAATTTCTCGGCTGTGGTGTCAGAAGGGCAGACCTGAAAAACCTGCTGGGCCCGCCTCTGGGTGTGGGGGGTGCCTTCTGCAGCTCTCTTGCTGCAGCCCATCCCTGTGACAGGATGTCAGGACAGGGTCATGGGGTCATCAGTGGAGGTCCCAGGAGCCCGTGTGGGGACACGCTGGGGAGGAGATTGCTCAAATCCCTTTTCTACCATCTCTGGATAGGGACTTGGCAGCCCTAGGTTTCCAGGCAAGAGTGCAGAGGACATGTGAGTGGAGGCAAAGATTTTGGAGCCAGGTGTGGGGCGTTGACCCTGTGTCTAGCCTGCCCAGTGACCCCATGACTCATACCCTAGCTATGTCCCTGAGGTCAGGTCGACAGGGTAGAGTCAGGGTTCCTGTGTGGACCCTGTGTTGATTTCTAAGATGCTCTGAGCTCCCAGAGAAGGGAGGATTGAGGTAGCCCCATGTGAAATGTGGGGCCACTCATAGTGAATGGAGTAAATGGGCCTATGTGGGGAGGAGTTGTGTTCCTTTGGTTGTGTTCCTTTTGAGATGGAAGAAGGTTCAGGGGAGCCTGGGAAAATTTCCCAAATCCAAATGGGACTTGGGTAAAGTAGGAACTCTAGGAGCCAAGGGGCAAAGAGAAGTTGAATTGGGACATCAAGGAAACCCTGCCATTCTGGGAAGGGTCATACCTTAGATGGGTAGCCATGTGAGGGCCTCTGCAAAGTACATGCTGTGTCTGGATTTTTCCCCCTTTTTGGTACTGGGGATTGAACCCAGGGGAGCTTAACCATCACATCCCCAGACCTTTTAATTTTTTTAAAATTTTGAGACAGGGTCTCACTAAGTTGCTGAGGCTGGCTTTGAACTTGTTATCCTCCTGCCTCAGCCTCCCGAGCTGTTGGCATTATAGGTGTGTGCCACCTGTACCCAGCTTTCATTTTTATTTTGAGACCAGGGTCACACTATGTTGCTTAGGATCTCTCTAAGTTGCTGAGGCTGGCCTCAAACTTGTGTTCCTCCTGTCTCAGCCTCCTGAGTTGCTTGGATTATAGGCATGTTCCACCCCACCTGGCTGTGCCTGGATTTATAAAACGACTCTAGAGATTGACCTCATACCTGATGTTGAGGACAGGGCACAGCTGCTTTAAGACAGTGATACAGACCCTATGGGGCTGATAGGAGGACAACAGAGAATCCAGGAGCAACTTATAGGCAGCTTGGCCATACCCCACAATATAGAGATGGGTAAGGGGCTTGTACCCCTGCCTCTTTGGTTGCCTGGGTCTTCCCTTGGCTACCAGATCCACAAGCTCTGGATTTCAGGGTAGGTGGAGATGGGAACTCTGTGGCCCCATGAGGCCCTCCCAGTCACCTGTCATGAAGGTTAGGCCAGGTGGTGGGAGGTGATGTAACCCTGCTGCCCAGCTGGGACCAAGCAGGGTGTGGGAGGGAGAGAGCAAAGTCTAGAGGAGAGGATGAGGGAGGGCTGGTAGCTGGCCAAGGCAGACTTCATGGTCCATCAGGGTTTCTGGGCACAGAGAAAACAGGTGGCTTGTTATGTGGTTATGGACTTCACTTCTCACAAATCTCTGCAAGGTGACCTCCATATGCTAGTCTCAGACTAACCTGTGGTGGAGAGAGGGGATGGAGGGACCTTGGGCTAGGTGAATATTCCTTGTTACACGAGGGCTACAGGATGGAATTAGGACAGGTATGGACCCACAAATCTGGACTTGAACCCTAGCTTGGCTCCCTCAGCTTTCATTCACTCATTTACTCAGTCAGCCAACAGACATTCATGAGGCACTTGCTGTACAAACCTCAGTGGTTAGGGTGCTAGAGATACTGATTTAATAGTATCTCCTGATTCAACATGCCTCATGGAGGTACAGGGGAGGCACAGTCTCTTGTTGGACAGCAATTGTTAAGTGATATTTAAGCCCCAGAATTATAAATGAGAAATGGGGCCGGGTGGGTAGGAAGTTTAAAACAGCACTCCAGATGGCCATAGCCTGGGCAAAGGCCCCTATGTGGCTTGCTGGACCAGGCAGTTTATGATAAAGTTGGTGGGGTTAGAACAGCCTTAGTGGTGGAGAGTGTAGGGCCAGGGAAATGGGCCTGGGGTATGTCCTTGACTGTGGGCAAGTTATTCACCTCTCTACCTTCCTCTCCTCACCTCTAACATGGGGTAATAATAATCAGAGAACTCCTATCCCCAGCTAGTTGTGAAGATTCAGTGTGACATAGTAGGCAACTCTTCCAGGCAGCCGGTGCTTTATAAGTGCCAACTAGTGTGATATTTGATTGAATCTTTACCATCATTTCTCTCTCTCTAGGCAAGACTCCCGGCTGTGGCCCATGGGCCTCTGAGGAGGCGTAAGTCTGCCCAGCTTCCCACTTGCTGTGTTCCCACTCAATGGGAAGGGAACCAAGGTACCAGGGTAGTGTGGGTCCAGTCATTGACACAGAATCAAAGGCCAGGCCAGGCAGGTGGGTGGGGCCCAGGGCACTTTGTATTCCCAGCTGGAGTGTGGGAAGCTGAGTTGGGCTGGGTACCGGAGTATCATGGGATGTGCTTTCTTAATGGCTCCTGTGTGTCACTGCTAGGCCTTGTCCACCATCAGCCACGGCCTCCTGACAACACCAGGATGGAAGTTAAAGGTCAGCTGATCAGCTCTCCTACCTTCAATGCCTCAGGTTGGTGGCTGGTTTCCCCCTCTTGCGGCCTCTTCCCCTGCTCTCCATCACCACCTGTCTGTTTGGGAAAGGTTGGTACCTGGCCCCACAACTGCTTCAGGATTGCCCAGTTGTCCCATTGATCTTTGTTTTTTCTGTCCAGCTGCCCTTTTTGGAGAGGCTGCCCCCCAGGTGAAGTCAGAGCGTCTGAGGGGACTGCTTGACCGGCAGCGGGCCCTGCAAGAGGCCCTGAGCCTGAAACTTCAAGAACTCCGAAAAGTGTGTCTCCAGGAGGCGGTAAGAGTTTGGCCTGAGGGGTGTCAAGTGGGAGGGGGTGAGGGGCTGGGACCCCTAGATAGACAGACTGTGGTGGAAATTGCTAAACCACTAATCTGGACTGTAGGTCACCCTCTGTCTTCTCAAAGCTCAACTGAGATTTCTTAGAATCAGTGAAATATGGTGATACAGGCCTACAGTCTCTTGTCTACCCTTTAAACCCTCCAGATCCTCAACAAACAAACAAATATAAACAAACTGGAGCTCAGCAGTAGAGTGCTTGCCTACTAGCATGTGCCAGGTGCTGGGTTTGATCCTCAGCACCACATAAAAATAAATAAATAAAATAAAGGTATTATGCCCATCTATAATAGAGAGAGAGAGAGAGAGAGAGAGAGAGAAAGAAAGAAAAATTTTTAAAAAGGCTGTGTCCAAAATTTGGTAGCAAGGCCTACTCTGAATCTGTCATGGGGTGATTTCTAGGTTTGATTTATCCTTCTTATTGTGAATGCCCTCATAGCTTGCTAGAAACCTTGAAGGGAGTGTTTTTAATATGCAATATATAGAATGTGTTGCCTTTGTAAAAACTAAAAGCTTCTGGACTATAAAGCAGGCTACCCAGCCTCCCACGCACATACCTCAGGGATTTGGGCTATTGAGGGGATGAGAGTCTACACTGCCCACCACCTTGGTGGAGATCTTGGGAGAAGGAAGAAAAACAATGTGTGGGATGCTGAGAAGGGCCAAGCTCCTTGGAGGACTTCTGTACCTTCTGGGATCATCACTGCTTTACTCCATCTCCCTAACTAACCTTTGGTAGTCTCTCTCCCTCCCCGGCCCCTCCAGGAGCTGACTGGCCAGCTGCCCCCTGAGTGCCCACTGGAACCTGGCGAACGGCCCCAGTTAGTGCGCCGTCGGCCCCCTGCAGCCCGTGCCTACCCTCCACTGCATCCTAATCCAGCACATCACTCCTTGTGCCCTGTTGAGGTGAGCAGATGGGTGTGGAAAGTAAGATGGTGAGGGGAAGTAACAGCGCCAGGCTTGGGATGGGGAGGAGGTTGTGGCCAGGGGAGAGAGAGGCTAAGATAAGAAGGGAAAAATCTTCAGGAGTTGGATTCTTGGAACAATGCTAGTCCCTACGTCTTTCAGGACAGGTTAGCCACTTTCAAAAGACAACAGGCCCTACCCCTCATCAATATGGACCCCTCTGCCAGAGAATGCTTAAGCTTCACCCCTAGGCAAATTGGTCTGCCCACAGGAAGAGCAAACTGCACTTCCAGTATAGATGGGCTCCTCCACTCTCTGGCCCCTGTGCCTGGCAATTTCTAACATTTGGTTCTCTCCTACCCATCTTGGGTCCCGTAGGAGCTGGAACGGGAAGTGTCGGTGCAGCAGCAGATTGCAGCCGCTGCCCGACGCTTGGCCCTAGCCCCTGAGCTGAGTGGTGAACAGCGGCGACGCAGGCGCCAGGTACAGGCGGATGCACTGAGGAGGCTGCATGAGTTGGAGGAGCAGCTGGGGGATGTCCGGGCCCGCCTTGGCCTCCCAGTTCTCCCTCCCCAGCCACTGCCGCTGTCTGCAGGGGCACTTATCACCACCCAGGGAGTCTGCCTGGGCACACGCCTAGCTCAGCTCAGCCAAGGTGAGCCAGGCCTCAGCACCCTACCAGTGAGAATGGGAAAATGGGCCAGGAAGGGACTCTTTTAAGTAATGGAAGTGGTAGGGGTGGCATGGATGAGCAGCCAGTGAAGCCCAGAATTTAAGGGAGCCACTGAATGAGAAGAATTAGAAACTGACTCACAGGTAAGGGCAGGCCCTAGGGGACTGAGCACTAGACACCAGGAAAGTGAAGACCCAGCCTGTGGTGGTCATGCATTCGGATAAAGGTGGATTCTTGGGAGAGGGAACAGGGTGAGATGGTATACTCCAGAAGGTGAGCTAAGCAGAGAGCCCATTCAGTGGTGTAAGGGGTTGGTACCCAGGTCTTGGAGTGATAGGCCTGGTTCTCCCCCTTCTCACCTGTAGAAGATGTAGTTCTGCACTCGGAGAGCAGCTCCCTGTCAGAGTCTGGGGCCAGCCATGATAATGGTGAGGACTCCTATTCCCCAAACCTGCCCACAGTTCCCTTTTCTGTCTCCTCAGCCCATCCTGTTGCTCAGACCCTTACTTGTTTAGCTCCTCCTTAGCCATGCCCCATCTGGTTGTACCACCCCCCATTTTAGCTTCATCATATCCCTCACCCCCTCAGCCCAAGGATCTACTTTTCAGCCTCTTCCTTACCCATTTTACCCCACCTCTCCCCTTATTTCTTTAGCTTGCTTAATTATGTCCTAGCTCTTGCCCTTTCCTTACTTCTCTAGTCCCTCCCTGTTGCTTCGCCCCAGTCCATACTGCCTCTTCTGACCTCTAATTGAATTATACCCCATTCTCTCCTTCCATCCAGAGGAACCCCGTGGCTGCTTCTCTCTGGCAGAGCGCCCCTCACCACCAAAGGCTTGGGACCAGCTGCGAGCAGTATCTGGGGGGAGCCCTGAGCGACGAACCCCATGGAAACCACCTCCTTCAGATCTTTATGGGGATCTGAAGAGCCGGAGGAACTCTGTGGCCAGCCCCACCAGGTGAGGATGAACCTCTTCCCCTGCCTTCCCCAGGAGCCAGGAATGGAATCCTGAGCCTGGGCTGGCAAGAGGGCCTGCTGGTGGGTACAGTCTCTAACCTGGGCCCCGACCTGGGCCTGCCCGTCTCTGTCTAGCCCCACACGCTCGCTGCCCAGGAGTGCCTCCAGTTTTGAGGGGCGAAGTGTGCCTGCCACCCCTGTCCTCACCCGGGGCACTGGCCCCCAGCTCTGCAAGTAAGGGGACTCTGAGGGAGGGTCTGAGGATCAGAGAAGGGAACTGTTAGTTTTAACTGGAAGTGTTAAGAAATTATCAAAATGTGGGGGCATGGGCAACTGGGTTTAAAAGGTGAATAGGAGTTGTCTTGGAGAACAGGGTGGGAATTGGGGGCAGAGGCACAGATGCTTGAGTATGTTTCTTTTTCCTGTATCTTCTCATCTCTGAATCCTTGTGTCCTTATTTGTGAAACAGGCACAGTGACATCTGCCTTTGAGAGACACAGGCATAATAATTTCTGGGCAACATGTCCTGGGTGCCTATACTGTCTGCTAGTAATCAGTGTTTTGTGTGATATCAACTCATTTAATCATCACAAGTTCCCTCTGAGAGCTGTGGTCTTGTCATTCCTGTTTTACAGATGAGGCACAGAGGGTTAGTTAATGAGCTGGTTAGTAAACTGAAATCCTGGTGTTTGAACCCAGGCAATCTTGACTCTGGAGTCTGTGCTTTTAATCACTATACTATATACTCTTTGTTTTGTCTGGTTTGGTTTGGTTTGGTACTGGGGATAGAATCCAAGGATACTACCACTGAACTACATCCCCAGACCTTACTTTTCATTTTGAGACAGGGTCTTACTAAGTTGCTGAGGCTGGCTTTGAACTTGTGATCCTCCTGCCTCAGCCTCCCAAGCCACTGGGATTACAAGCATGTGCCGCCACGCCTGGTTTATTCTATTGTTTCTTAAACAGTAGGTACTTATTAAGTACCTACTTTCCCAGGTTGCAAACAAAACCAAATCCCTCTGTTTTTGAGGCCTGTGTTCTGTGCATGGTGGCTGTTGGGATGATTGTTTTGGGCAGTTCATAAACATGGTGGTGCAGAGTTTAGGCAGGTCTTAAATTCCAGGCCTAAGGACTAGGACTTGGTCCTGAAAGTAGTGAGGGTTAGGGTTAGGGTTAGGGGATAAGGAAGAACGCTCTGTTTGACTGCTCCTCTGCTAATATTTTCTCCCCAGCCCTATACATATTTGCATCTCCCTTAGTGTTAACTGCCCTTTTTGTCTATACATTTCCAACCCCAGGGGCCCCCAGTCTGGGACCAAATTTCAGCTGTCCTTCCTAACACCTTCATGCATCCAATTTCTGGTCCTGGGCCCATTTTAGAGATATGCAAGTGGAGGCTCAGAAAGAGATGGTGTGGGGAGGGCATTCAAACCCCTTGCCTGATATTTTTTGACCGTACTCCCATTACCCTCACCTCTGCACCCCAGGCCCGAAGGCCTCCATTCTCGACAGTGGTCCGGCAGCCAAGACTCCCAGATGGGCTTCCCCCGGGCGGACCCTGCCTCAGATCGCGCCTCCCTCTTCGCAGCTCGCACTCGCCGCAGCAACAGCTCTGAGGCCCTGCTGGTGGACCGGGCTGCTGCTGGGGGAGCTGGCTCTCCGCCTGCCCCTCTGGCTCCCCCTGCCACTGGCCCACCAGTCTGCAAGAGCAGTGAGGTGCTGTATGAGCGCCCCCAACCAACCCCTGCCTTCTCCTCTCGCACAGCAGGGCCCCCAGACCCTCCCCGGGCCGCCAGGCCTAGCTCAGCTGCCCCTGCTTCCCGTGGAGCCCCCCGGCTCCCACCTGTGTGTGGGGACTTCCTCTTGGACTATTCCTTGGACCGAGGCCTGCCCCGCAGTGGCGGCGGGGCAGGCTGGGGGGAGCTGCTGCCTGCAGCTGAGGTCCCAGGACCACTCTCCCGCCGGGATGGGCTCCTCGCCATGCTCCCTGGCCCACCACCCATGTATGCAGCTGATGGCAGCAGCCCCCTCCTCCGCAGCAAGGACCCCCACACCCGTGCCACCCGTACCAAGCCCTGTGGCCTGCCCCTGGAAGCTGCTGAGGGTCCAGAGGTGCATTCAAACCCTCTGCTATGGATGCCCCCACCCACCCGGATCCCCCCGACGGGTGAGCGCAGTGGCCACAAGAACCTTGCCCTGGAGGGGCTGCGGGACTGGTACATCCGGAACTCGGGACTGGCCATGGGGCCCCAGCGCCGGCCTATGCTCCCTCACGTGGGCCCACCACACCCACCCTTCCTTCATGCCCGCTGCTATGAGGTGGGCCAGGCGCTGTATGGGGGCCCCAGCCAGGCTCCGCTCCCGCACTCGAGGAGTTTCACGGCACCCCCTGTTTCCAGCAGGTATGGGGGGTGCTTTTACTGATGGGTAGGGGTCTCTTGAGGCAATTGGTGAAGATATCCAGGCCAGGGATCAGCTAGTCATGATTGCTAATGACTGGGACCACAAGGAAACTAGCTGCAGTGTTGACACCGGTCATTTCCAGGTGTGACCTGCACTAGGCCTTGAGGTCCTGGTAGAGGGGGATCCTGGGCACTGGTAGCAGTTCCTTACCAAGTCCTAGAAGGAGTTTAATGTTTTAACCAGTGCATGTTGGCTGGAAATGAGCCTTGAAGCCAGGGTGCTGGGAGGAAGGGACGTCATGTGCCCTCACCTTTCTCTTCCTCTTTTCTCCATGCCCCATGCTCGGGAGCATAAAGGTGCTTTTCTGTGCCTGCCTCCACCTCTTTAACGAGACTCTTTTCCTCTTTCTTTCTGTGTCTTGTCTGTCTTTTCCTCTCTCTTCTCTGTCTTCCCCACCCTGTCCTCCGGATTCCTGCTGTCCCCTTCTAAAGATACTACGCGGACTTCCTGTACCCCCCGGAGCTGAACGCTCGTTTAAGTGACCTGACGCTAGAGGGGGACCAGTCTTCCAGTTCTGACCCCCAGACCCCAGGGACACTGGTCTGACCCCTTCTGATATGCCCCTTGTTGGTCTGGGCATGGCTCTAGTCCTGGGAGCACAGAGCCGACCTCGCTGAGCCCTGGGATGTGGTTGCTCTCACTCCTGGGAGGGGCGCCAACCTGATCTTCCAAGGCCCCTGGCTCCCCATGGGCCCGGGAAGGTGTCTAATACCCTGCTTCTCTCACACTGTGCTGGGGACTGGGGGACCTCAGCCAGCTTCAAGGAGAGTGAATGATGTAATGGGGATTCCAATCCCCTTCCTCCATTTCTGTTTACAGTTGTGATTTAGTATTCACTGTCTTTGCCCAATATTAGGCATTTTATAAAAGGGAAACTGTGAGCTCGTCCTGGTTGGGTTCATTCCTGTTCCCCTGCCCAACCTGTTCTGTTCAGGTCCGCTGCCCCCTCCATAATGGACCATATAGGGTCTTAGGACCCTTTTGGGGGGTAGTCAGGAGACTCTGTTGTGAACAGAACTCCCTGCCACTCCCCAAACCAGGGCAGTTTGGATTTCTGCCCACATTTGGAAGGATTAAATTCTGGGTGGGGTGCCCTATCCCTCTCTGTGCTGATCATTCCCAATCAGGAGGCCCTGTAGGAGGCTAACAAGGGGCAGAGCCATTCAGTATATTGCATCCTGGGATGCTGTGGTGGTTGAACCTGGCATCTGGTAGATGCCAGTACAATCCTCAGGTGACGTCTGGCCACAGGCCACGTCACATCCTCCTTGGCTTTCCTTCAATTCAACACTTTTTAAACAAATCCATACAATCTGTGTTTTCTATGATACCTGTCTGTGACTTTCTGGAGCTGGGGGTTCCCCTACCCCCTTTACCTAGTGTTAAAATTTTTCTTTTTGTACCAGTGGATCTGGGCCCAAGACACTACCCACACTGGAAGGGGATTTCTATAATAAATGTGTAAACTGAACCTTGTGTTGCTTCTCTAGTCTGCTTTGCCTTGGGGCCCACACCTCTCATTAATACATTTTTACAGGAAGAAAAATACCGGATAGCCTGCAACAGTGTCATCTGTTTTGGCTTGCTTTGTGATGTGGGACAACTTTGCCTGTCTGGTCTAAGATTCCTAGACCACCTCAAACAGGAAATTTTTTTAGGTACTGGGGATTGAACCCAGAATATTCTACCAATGAGCTACATCCCCAGTCCTTTTTTTTTTTTTTTTTTTTTTTTTACTTTGAGACAAGGTCTTGCCAAGTTACCAAGCTAGCCTCAAACTTGCTGTCCTCCGGCCTCAGACTCCTGAGTCACTGAGATTACAGGTGGGGGCTAGCACACCCAGCTCAAACAAGAATTCTTAGTAATTCAAAATGGTGATAGTATACACTCTGTTCCCTTAACCTCCCCATGCTTTATTGATCATCCAGAGGTAAAAGTTTTGAGAAAGGGCCTAAGCCCTTCATCCTACACACTTGACAGGGAGACCTAATCAGGTAGAGGCTAGCAGAATTGAAGAGCAGACCACCCTGTCCTTTGAAAGGTACAAGAACTTCACTCAGGAGGCCAAACTGGCTTGAGAGATGCAACGGCTTTATTGTTGCAGTAATACTGATACAGATATTCTCTTCCCTGCTGGGGCTTCTCCACCCCTTGGTCCTTGACACTGGAATGTTGGGGAAAGGAGCCAAATCTGGAGAGCTGGAGGGAAGCTACTGGGACTTGTGAGGGTTGGGGATCACCTGGGACCAAGGATCCAACAGTCAGGTATTCTGATTCCACCCAGGTGAGGCCTGAGAACACTTGGTTTGGGGGTCAAGATTTGGCAATGCCTTAATCTGGTTCAAAGCAGGGGTGGGGCTAGAAAAGCCTTGGTCCCGGTATCTTCTGTTGACAATTCCTTGCCCTGGGCATGGGATCCCAGAACGGAATACCAGTGAATCCCAAATTTGGGTTGGGGGGTATCTCTTGAGTCCATAGTTTGAGATTGGTCAGGGATGCTCTGGTCTCGAGCCCCAGTTTTGGAGGTGAATGTAGGTGGCTCTGGGTCCCAAGTTCAGGGCTGTAGAAGTCTCTGGTATCTAAATAATAGGGGTTTGGATCCAAGGAAATCCTGATTTTGCATGTGGGGCACATTCACAGAGGTCTTGTTTGGACTAGGGGGCTCTAGGCTCCTATCTTAAAGTCTGGGAAAGAGCTCTGGGTCCCAGGTATGGGCTGGGGTGGGATGGTGTTCTCCAGGCCCTTGGGTGCAGATTCCAGGCCCTTAGGATCCAGCCTCCTGCTCTTGTCCCAGGGCCTCTAGTAGCAGCCCCATTGGCGTTCGCTTGAGACCAATGCTCTCGATCTTGTTCTCGATCTTGTTTTTAAGGTTGCGCAGGCGCAGCGAGGCATGCACCAGGATCACTGTGGGCGGTATTCAGAGGAGTCGGGTCAGTGGGAAGGGCCCTTATTTTTCAGCCAGTAGGGGCCCACTGGAGGGAATTGGCTCACTGGCAGGCCAATCATCAAGTGGAGTGGCAAGGACGCCTCTGGAGTAGTTATCTTTACATGGGGGCGTGGCCAGGAAGGGAGTCCAATAACAGGGACGTGGCCAGTTTAAGGCACTTAACACCAGGAGACCCAAGAAGGTGGTAATAAGGGAGGCGTACTCTTAAGTAGGGAGCAGCGCCAAAGAAGGCGCATTTAATAGAGGCCTTGCTGCCCTTGTGTTGCTTCTCTAGTCTGCTTCCCAGCCCCCTCTCAGCCCACGGACCAGCACAGGGCGGGCCTGCTGACTTAAGCGCGCTGGCCATTTCCCCGGCCATTTCAGGGTAGTGAAGACTCACAAAGGACCGGCCCGGCGATGCTGATCAGGAAGGTGCAAGCGCCACCCGCGACCCAGAGAACGAGGAGACCGACGGCAAGTACTCCTGCCAAGCAGGCTGCTGGGTGGCTGCGGCGGCAGCGGCGTACTGCTGCGCGGGTCTCAGCAGCCCACACCAGCACGCCGAGGGCTACCACCACTGCAAGCGCACTCAGGAGCGTGTGCAGCGGACGCACGTACCTGCGGGAACAAGGGCACTAAGCTAGTCTCACCATCCACTAGGTCCTGGGCCCCAAGAGCGTAGATCCCCGTTTCTGGACCCTCCAGCCCAGCAAACACTCATGCCAGCTCTGTCCCCGACAGGTCCATCCACCAGATTCACATTCCCTGTGTGTCAATCCTACAGTCTGAGTTTCTTGTTCCCTGATTTTGGTCTTCCCATCTCACTAGATGCCCCGGGCTCCAAACACTTTCCTGGGTCTTTCTTCTGACTCTACCCCCAACTCCTGAGCAGGGATCCTTCTCCAGCAACCCCACCTTCACCTCACCCCACATCCTCCATTTGAGCCGAGCCCCTGCAGATCCAGCATCCAGGCCTCAAATCCTGTCACACATTTCTTTCTCCCTAGGCCCAGGGTCTTTACAGGACCACCTTCCAGGCGTCCTCCACATCAAATGTCCCCTCCAGGCTCCCATTTCCCAGTAGATTCCTCCATCATCATTGCTAGAACTCCAGGTCTTCAGTCCCACGCTTAACTTCCAAGTTAAGAACCCCACTCTTAATTGCCTAAGTCCCTCTTCTATTTAGATTCTCCATCCCTCTGATCTCAGGCTTTTCAACCCTGGGTCCTCCCTCTGGGACCAAGTTCCCCAACAGGTACCTCTTTATCTTCATGTCCATCTCCAAGCCCACTTTCCCCTTCAGTTCCACACTTCTCCATCCTCCCTAGATCTTTCCTCCAGACCCTCCATCCATCCCCCGCAGGCCTTCCTTATAACCAGGATTCACTTCCTTCCGTGTACTTTAGGCCTTCCACTTCTGCCATATTCACCCTTCTTGCCTCAGCATTTCCTTAGGTTCCCCCTCCCAGTCCTCAAAGACCAAGCGGTCCACCCTCTATGCCCTGTTGGCATCCCCAGCCAACCGTTGCCTCCCTCCCTCACCCAGCCAGAGCGAGACCAAAGCCAAAGCAGAGAAGGTAGTTGGTTTGATAGTAGAGGAGGTTGTTGATGACGCGGTGGCACCATCGCTGCGGGTCGCATAGATCCGGAGCAGCCAGACGTGCTGATCCCAGAACAAAGTCGTCTAGGGCGCGTAGCGGTGGCAGCCGCACCTCCGACATCCTGCGGGTTGCTGGACCAGTCCGGAGGGCGGCCGGACTACAACACCCGTTATACCCCGCGGCAGCGCGGGGCACCCCGGGAAATGGAGTCTAAAACAAACCACATAGATATACTGCGCAGATGCGCATGTGACCGGAAATGCAAATAATTTGCCGGCAAGTAAGGCAGCAAAGGCTGCCGGGAAATGATGCCTCAGCCGCGCAAGAGGTTCTGGGAACTCTTCAAATTTTGAACCGCCCCTAGGCGGGGCATCAAGATTGGGAGCAGTACTGGGCGGGGCTGGCGGCTCAAGCACTCGGTAGCAAGACCGGAGATGTAAGGCCGCAGGGACTTTCAGAAGAACCCGAGCAGGATTCCACTTCCTGTCAGGATCCAGAGAGGGTCACACCTCTCTGGCCAACTCAAAGCCCCACCCCTGAGGTCAAGCCGTAAATGCCTTTAAGGGCCTTTTATTCACATCCGTTACATCAAAGATCATCTTTTCCTGGAAAGCTTTTTTAAATCCCCAGGTTGGATTAAGACACGCCCTCTTGAGTCTTTGGCAAATTTTTCTGGGCGAGGAGCCCCAGGGAATCTGCCGGCTTCCCAGTCATGGCCCTTGGGGCAATCATCAAAAAGTGCTTGGAGGAAGTGAGCTGTTTATTTAGACATCTCTCTGCTGGGTGGAGAGTGGCACAGGCCCCATTAATGCTTGATGGTTGGTGAATTCCACAGCACTTCCCCACCCTCAAGGTTCAGTTCTACCACATGTCACTGCAGGTTCCTAGCACGTCCCCCAGGGTCCTTAAAAATCATCATCATCACAGATGTCAAGGTACACGTCGAAAGCCTCTCTGTTGCAGTTTCCATCAGGAGTGAAGACATATTTGTGGAAGGTTCCATCTACGCAGATGGCTGGGGGGGTGGGAGGGGTGGTAAAAGGTTAGGGGCTGCCACAGCCACACACTGCAGCCTTCTCAGGTGTCGCATGGTCTAGGGTCTACCTCCAAGTCCTTTGTCCAAGTGCCATACCCCTTACTGATGATGTGTTGAGCCACACACTCCAGCTCCCTCAGGCTTCTGATGGCCCTCAAATTCTTCTAGGTCCAACCTGCAGACCTTTGCCCATGCAGTACCCCGAACCAAGGGGCTTTTTCCACTCACCAATTACAGAATTGACGTTCTTGGACGTATTGCGACCAAAGGCGCAGATGCATGCTGACTCAGCAGGCACAGTAAAGCTCGCCAGGCTCCACTGAGAGTCCACGTATTGCCCAATCATAGGCCCCACCTTGCCCACACGAGCCAGCCTGCAGGCAGCACTGGGTAAGCCCAGATGGGGTACATGGGCAGGGGGGTGGGGATGATACAGGGTGAGACAGAGGGTACTCACGCAGAGCGTCGGTTGAGGCGGGTATCCTTGAGAGCAAAGATATGGACAGTGCCTTTATCACTGGAAGCGCAGAGGAAGGAGGAGTCGTGGCTGAAGTTAATGCTGGAAGACAGACCAGCCAAGTGCACATGTAATGCGTGTCATGGGGTCACCACCCCACCATACATATCTTGTGCTCACCAGTATAGGGTTGCAGGGTCAGTGCCTCGTCGCAGCTCCACCAGTTTTTCCTTGGACTGAGTGTCAAAAAGGCGAATAAGGGTGCCCTTCTGGGAGGCAGAGGCCACTACAGTGCCTGGCTGGTTCAGGGACACACAGGCTACATCACTCTGATGTGCATTGATGGTGAAAGGAGCAGATGAGGTGCCAGGCTTTGTGCTTGCCAGATCCTGAGGTAGGAGGGAGCTGCTTGGCCTTGGAGTGGCATGGAGGGGAGAAGCCAAGAGTCCACAGGGAGAGCCAGCCCACCTGTATTCTTGCCCACTGGACAACTCACCACAAGTTGCAGACTTCCACACTTGTGTCCTGGGAATACAAGCAGTTGCTTCTCCAGGCTGGGACAGAGGTCACAGAGCCCTAGGGTGTGAGGATGCAGGAAGGATGGGCAGGTAAAGAGGAGAAAGGTGAGGGTACAGTCTCTCGAAATGGGCAGATTTGGGTAAGGGACAAACTTCAAATCTCCATAATGGGGACATGTTATCTATAGAAACTGGGGGTAGAGTGGGTGGTGGCAGAATTTTGTTCAGCTGCACTCCCCACCAGATTCCTATCCTCTCCCAAGCAGCTGTGGATTCTAATATGCTTCTATGACAGCCTAGAAGCCCAGGGCTCCCTAACACACCCACCCACATCTTCACTAGGTGTTTCTGCTCTCATCTGAGGCATCCAGAGATGGGACAGTGCTGAAGGTGGGGAGAGAGAACAGTGGAATAGAAGGATGAATAGACTGCACCCTTCAGCCCATTTGAGCATCTCTGTGCATGAAGCCTTTCTCCCTGTTCTTTTCCCCATGTACTGGGGATTGAACTCAGGGATGCTCTACCACTAAGCTACATCCCCAATCTTTTCAGGGTCTCATTAAGTTGACCAGGTTGGCTGTGAACTTAGCATCCTGAGTAGCTAGGATTAGAGACATGAGCCACCATGCCTGACCTCTCTTCCTAATTTTTAAAAATACATCACAGATTATTACACTTTAATTATAACAATTCATAAATCCATAGTGATACTTTCTAAAAGTATTTTTTTAATTGTTGATAGACCTTCATTTTATTTATTTATATGTGGTGCTGAGAATCGAACCCAGTGCCTCACACATGCCTGGCAAGTATGCTACTGCTGAGCCACAGCCCCTCTTCCTATTCTTTGTGTGTGCTCCCTTCCTTTTTCTCCTATCTCTGTCCCACTCCTGGGCTCACACCCTTACACCTGCATATCTGGGTCCTCTCACCCTTGGGGTTGTCTCTGGTGTCAAATTCAAACAGCTTTCGGGGATTGTCAGGAAAAGAGTACACGTAGATACGGTTCCTCAGCACGATCACAATCCTGTGGGCATCACACAACACAGGATGGCCATGAGGGGAGGGAGGGCAGGCTTCCCAGATAGAACTCACTCTTTCACTTGCTCTGGGGACCTCCTGCCCTCCACCCCAGTCCTCCTCAGGCTCACTTGTCATGGCGCATGCGCACAGCCAGCACTGGCTTGGTGAAGGTGAACTCCAGCACCAGCTTGTCCTTGGAGTCCTTGCCCTCCCGGGCATCATCCCAGATCAGCACTGCTGGGCAGGTTGGTGGGTTGGTGGGGCCAAGGTTTAGGGTGAGGGGCAGCCCTGGTGACACAGGACCCACCCCTTCTCTCCATTGGACCTTACCCCACTCCCTTGGCCTTTCACTAAACCCCCAATGTGAGCTCTGCACAGCATGATCACTCTGGGCAAGGTCCCTGAGGGACTAGGTTCTAGAACTATTATGCTTGTTTGGTGATGAGGAAACTAGGGTTTGAAGGGGTTTTGTCTGACCAGGGACCTTACAGCCCATCAACAACCAAGAAGGGGCTCATACCCAGGCTTATAACTTTCCCTCAGCAACCATATCTACTTCCAGGGTCTCAGTCCATACCCCTCAGAGATTTCTGTGAGGAATCCTAGGGCTCTGTGACTCACCTAGGACAATTCTTCCCATGCTGTGGTGGGATTGACAAGAAAATACCTTAAAACAAGATGGCACTTAAGGCTCAAGCCAAGGAGGTGTTTGAAAGACAGCACCAAGGTGTGAAAAAACTATTGATTGTGTGATCTTAGGCAAGTCAACCTCATTGGGCCTCAGTTTCCTCATTGATAAAAATGTGTGGCTTAAGATGTGACAGTCATAGGTTCTCTCCCTAGCAGTGTAAAAATAGGAGGGGGGAAGAATCATGATACTTCCTACCAGAGTTACTGTGAGGATTAAATGAGTCAATACAGATGAAGTGCTTAGGACAGTGTCAGGCTCACAGTAAGTGTTCCATAGGTAAGAACATGGCACATAGAGGGCACTGGGTTAAGTGTGTTTGTTGTGCTCGGGATTGAACCCAGGGCCTTGTGCATCTCAGGCATGTACTGTACCACTGAGCTATACCCTAAGCCCCAATAAGTGTTTTAAAAATGAAAACAAAACATCAAGCTTCTCATCAAACTTCCAAGCTGTGGGCCTCACTATGGGAATCTGAGGTGCTCTGACATTCATCTGCTAGTGCTTCCCAGATTCCTGTGGGAGGCCAGGAATCCCAGGAATCTGGGTCAAGGGCAGGATGAGGGCACTTACCTGAGATCTCGGAGAACTTGGGGCTGCCACCACCGCCCACCAGGGCCAGCAGGTTGGAACGGTGCAGCATCTCTACCAGGCCCATGCTGCCCACCTGCTCGTGGTCTGAACAGGGACCAGGATGTCAGTGGAGGTAGGTGCCAATGCCCAGCCTTCTGCCCACCACCCCTCCCCCACTAAGTGGCTCACCCAAATGCCCCTTCTCCATCAGTGGTTCAACATTGTAGATGCGCACACCTGTCTCCATGGCACAGCAAAAACAGCCTGGGGATGGAAGGAATCCAGAACACCTGGAGAGGGGAGCTTAGGCCTATGGCCCACCTCTGACCCTTCTCTCCTCCCCTCCCTCAAGGGTACAGGTACAAGCATTACTCACTTTGGTCTTGGTTGAAACGTAGGCTGGTCACCCCTCGAAGAGGCTGCTGAGTCATGGTTCAGGATTGTACCCCTAGATACAATAGTATAGAGTTGACAAGGGTCCTGGGATCTCCCCTGCACACCCTAGAACTTCTGTCCCTAAGTGATTTCTTCTCCTCCCCACTCTGCTAACTTCTCGACCAGACTACAGAGAAGATAAAATGGGAGGAGAGTCCTAAAGTCTCTGCTCTAAGCTCCAAAGTCCCCAAACAGAATGGCCAGAAACCCTATTTTGTCTCACACATATTTTCACAATCCCAGACCCAGGCCTATACTGACTTATTCCTTGTACCTCCTCCTTAGACACTGACCCTTACTGACTTGACAGGAAGTAATGTGGTAGGGGACACCCCAGTGATACCTCCTCCCTACCTCCAGCCAATCTTAAGGTGGCCTCAAACCACTGCTTACCCACTTCTGATCTTCACACATGCATACAGCACCCAACTCTGACTGTCAGTATATAGGGGAAAAGGGGTCAAATACATTTACTGATTCTTGCACCTCCTGAGACTGACTGCAGTGTGTGGTCCACCACCCACAGGAACTTCCCTCATGCCCTTCCTACTCTACCGCAACTCATTCATATATTTGAATCTTCTCACAATTTTCTTCCTCACAAACCTTCCCCATCTCCTTCTCACACCTTGCAAACTCTGCCTACCAAGGCCAGCTTAGACTTTCCCCTGGATCCCATTATGACCTGAAGACCCTACTTCAGTATTCCTGTATCACTTTCAATCTTCCACTCGTGGAACATCTGATTTCTTGTCTCTGCTGTCCCTGGCTCCTACTTGAACTGGCTTAGATCCACCGTCAGGCACCCATCCCCCTAATAGTGCTTCTCTAAACCCTCTACCCTCTCACCAAGACCCTGCTCCAGGGAATAGCTAACCCTAAAAACCTTTTCCCAGGACACACCACCCAAAACCCCTTCCTAAGAAAACCTTAACCTTGTAAAAAAGCCTGTTCTGGTCCCCCCCCTCCCAAGATTCCTGCCCTAAAAAGCCCCCATCCTCCCTTCAAATCCAATCTCTCTCAAGACCTCTACCTAGATACACTCCCCTGCCCATCTTCTAAAGTCTCCTACCTTTCCCCCCTCCATCTGACAGCCTCACTCCCCCAAGACCTACACTTTTGATAGCTCCTCCTTCCAAGACCCCTTTTTTTGGACTTCCATCCATTCCAAATACCAGCACCACCCAAGAATCCTACACGGGATGCCTCAGGCCTCTTCTAAGACTCCTCTCATACCCCTTGCAACACCAGCACTCACTTTAAGACCCCTGGCCCAGATCCCTAACCTACTAAGACCCCTCCTCAAGACCCCACCCCGCCCGTGACCCCGATTAGCTCTGGGATGTGCTCCAATTTCCCACCGCCTTCACCGACCTGACTTCAGTGCGTTCCTGACCCCCGGCCTCGCTGTCGGTGCTGCCCGCGGCCCGGCTTTCTGACCTCCCAGGCCTTGGTGCCCAGCTCAGGTGTTTACATCAGGCCCCGCTTCCGGGGGAGGGAGTCTGCGACCGGAAGTGGCTTCCTGGCCTGACAACTTGATCGCACAACCCTTCTCGTCCGGTTTGCGGGTCTTTCGAGCATCCCGAGTGATACCAGGGTCCTCCATGGAGGGCTCAGGGAGCAGAGGAAGGTCGGCTATGGGGACAGAGGATACCCAAGGGCAAGGTTGCCCGAGGGCGTGGGAACCAGGAAGGGGTTGGGAAGAGAGGGCCTTCCCTTTGCTAAACGGAAATGGGCCCAGCAGGCAACTCTTTAACCCATAAATAGCCAGAGGCTTTTAACCTTCCAGGCGAACAAGACGTGGTCCTCCGAGTTGGGCTAGAGTAGCTTCCGGCTGTCTTAGGAGTGGTCTCAGACTTAGGGAGGTGGCTTGAAAGGCTTGGGGCATAGGCGGACTTAGAGACCTTGAAAGTTAAGCCTTTATCTCTTTGGTCAAGGAAACTCAGGGATGGAATTACACTCTCCTCACTGCACCTCTGGTCCTGTTTTATTTACAAAATGAGAAATAGTTTTTTGACGATAAAAGGTATGAATGCTTACTGTAGAAACCAAAAGGCTTCCAAATTATGTGCATGCTGGAAGTATTTCTTTTCTTTTTCTTTCTTTCTTTTTTTTTTTGGTGTGTGTGTGGTGCTGGGAATTGAACCCAGGGCCTAGTGCCTGCGAGGCAGGCACTCTACCACCTGAGCTATATCTCAGCCCATGGAAGTATTTCTTAAACTTAAAAAATTTTGAGACAAGAATGGTTTCATACAATTTTAAGAAATATAAATTGTTACAATCAGAATACTAACACTAATGCAATATACCTTTTTTCCCCCCTGGTACTGGGGATTGAACCCAGGGTTGCTCCATCACTGATCTACATTCCCAGATATATATGTGTGTGTGTGTGTGTGTGTGTGTAAAATTTAGAGATAGTCTTGGTAAATTTCCCAGGTTGGCCTTGAATTGTGATCCTCCTGCCTCAGCCTCCCCAGGAGCTGGAGTTACAGGCATTCACCACCATGCTCACCCTACTCTTTCTCTAAGAGTATTTTATTTGTTGTTCTTTGGTGGGACTGGAGATGGAACACAGGTCAGTGCATGTGCTAAGCAATCATTCTATCACCGAGTTTCATTCCCAGCCCCTGAAGTATTGTTTTGATGCCTTTTTAATTATAAGAGCATCTGTTTAATTCATCTTTTTAACTGGCTCATGATATTCCATGTTATAAATATAGTTTTGTTCAGCTGTTCCCTCATTGATGGACATCTAGGGTGTTTCAGCTCATGTATCATTAACAGCCATCGAAATGTTTACCTGTGCACTTTGACCCCATATACCCTCCTAGGCATTTGACTCCTCAGCAAAGCCAATCTTCTGGCTTCCTTCAATGTCTACTTCCTCATGTCCCAGACCATATTTAACTTAATTCAGTTTGGCCTCTGTCACTGAGACTGCTGTTAACCAAATCACTGATGAGTAACAATCTTGCCAAAGCAGCAATCACTTCTCTGCCCTCTCCTGGGACATTCCAGTGCAGTCCACAGTTCTTCCTGCTCTTACTCTCCTCATGTTCTCCATCTCTGGCTATCCCTCCATTTGTATACGATTGATTTCCAAATATTATAATCTTTGGGTATTGCTATTGTTTGAATGTGTTCCTCAAATTCATGTATTGGAATTTTAATCTCCAAATTCATATATTAATGGCATTTGAGGGTGGACCATTGGATGGTGATTGGGTTCAAGAGGTCTTTGCCCTCAGGCCCTTGCCTTGGGAGTGGCTTTATTGTTGGCTTTACAGTTGCAGATGGAACTGTGTATGCTAGGCAAGTGCTCCACTACCTAACTACATTCCCAGCCCCATTTATGCCATTTACTAGTGAAAGTTTTTTTTTTTTTTTCATTTTGTTTTGTCTTGTGGTGCTGGGGAAGGAACCCAGGGCCCCAGGTACTTAGGCAAGTGCTCTACCATTGATCTATATCCCTAGGCCTTAGGTTACTTTTTTCTGTGTGTAAAGATTAAGGCAGAGGGAATTACATTATCATGCCAATTGAAAGTAGCCTTTTTGAGAAATTTGGCTTTTATCTCTGTGATCCTGATTTCTTGTAGATCAGATTTAAAGTTTAGTTTCAACTTGCCTTAATCCTTCCACAAAAAATTAATCTAAAGTAACCCGATATCCAATTTTTTTTGGTATTTGGGATTCAACCCAGGGGCGCTTTACCACTGAAGCACATCCCCAGCCCTTTTTAGCTTTTAATTTTGAGACAGGATCTCACTAAGATACCTAGGGCCTCACAAAGTTACTGAGGCTGACCTTGATTTTGCAGTCTTCTTGCCTTATCCTCCCTAGTGCTGGAATTTTAGGCGTACACCACTGGGCCCAAATCCAATCAGTTATTTTTCCACTGTTCTTTCTCCCTGTCCCTGCTGTACAAGAAAAGTAACTTTGAAATGAACAATCTGATTTTTTTGTTTCAGCTTTCTTCAGCCTTTCTGTACCTATAAACCAGCCTTCTTTCTTTAGCTCATTGGAACAATTATGCTTTTATGAAAAAAGTATTACCAAATTCTAGAGTCACAGTTAAAGCCAATTACAAATTTTAAATGGATCTGGGCAAGATGATAGACTCCTATAATCACAAAACTTGGGAGGCTGAGGCAGGAGGATTTTAAGTACAAAGCTAGCCTGGGCAATTTAGTGTGACTTTGTCTCAGAATAAACAATAAATTAGACCAGGCATAGGAAGGGCTGGGGTGTGGCTCAGAGTTGGAGCACTTGCATAGAATGCGTGAGGCAGTGGGTTTGATCCTCAGCACCACATAAAATAAAGGTATGTGTCCACCTACAACTAAAAAATAAATGTTTCAAAAAGAAATTAGACCAGGAGTGGTGGTGCATGCCTGTAATCTAAGCAACTCAGGAGGCTGAGGCAGGAGGATTTCAAGTTTAAAGGCAGCCTCATCAAATTAGCAAGGCTCAACAACTTAGCAAGGGGCTAGGGATGTGGCTTAGTGGTTAAATGTCCCTGGGTTCAAACCTCAGTACCAAAATAAATAAAACAAAATTAAAAAGGCTGGCATTGTCACTCAGTGGTAGAGCATCCCTGGATTCAATCCCTACTACCACCAACAAACAGATTTTCACTGGATGCCATGGCACATGCCTGTAATCCCAGTAACTGGGGAGGCTAAGACAGGATGATCACAAGATAAAGGTCAGTCTCAGCAAATTAGGCCCTAAGCAATTTAGTAAGACCTGTCTCAATTAAAAATAAAAAGGGCTATTCAAGGAGGCTGAGTCAGGAGGACTGCAGATTCAAAGCCAGTCTCAGCAACTTAGTGAGGCCCTAAGAAATTTAGTAAAACCCTGTCTAGAAAGAAAAAAATAAAAAGAGCTGGGACATGGCCAGTTGGTTGAGCACCCCTTGGTTCAATCCCTAGTACCAATAAGTAAGTAAATAAATAAAAGTAAAAAGGGCTTGGTATGTGGCTCAGTGGTAAAGCACCCTGAATTCAATCCCCAGTACCAAAAAAAATTGCAATTTTGCCCTTTGACACTATCCTTTCTTTATAGATGATTGCCCTGGCTGCCTCTAATTCTTTGTACCACTAGAGACTGCTCTTTGATGGACCCCTAGGAATTGTGCTTTGGGATGTACACCCAGAAGCAAACCAGTGGAGTCAGAGGGTATTGAATCCTTCACTTGGTGAAGGACATCATGTTATTGTTCTAGAGGGACCCTTTCAGTTTACATTCCTATTCCCAGGCCTAAGTTCTTGGTCTCTACTGACCCTCCCTGAGCATTTTCTGTGCCTTTTTTTTTTGTACCAGGGATTTTGGGGATTGAACCCAGGAGTGCTTAAACACTGAGCAACATCCCCAGCCCTTTTTAATATTTTATTTAGAGACAGATGCTTAAGGCCCTGCTAAGTTGCTGAGGCTGGCTTTGAACTCTCAATCCTCCTTCCTCAGCCTCCAGAGCTGCTAGGATTACAGATGTGCAACACCTTGCCCAGCATTTTCTAGCTTTCATAGTTTTCTTTTAATATTCTTTTTAGTTGAAGATGGACACAATACCTTTATTTTATTTTATTTTATTTTTTTTTTATTTTTATGTGGTGCCAGGGATTGAACCCAGTGTCTCACGCACTGAGCCACCCAGGCCCCATAGGTTTAACAGTTAAGTAGGTGTTAATTGGTCCCTCAGTTTAACTGACATTTCTCTGATTATTGAATTCAGTCATCTTTTCATGCCCTTGCTTGGCTTTTGAAGTTTCTCTCTCTCTTTTTTTAGAGAGAGAATTTTTTAATATTTATTTTTTAGTTTTCGGCGGACACAACATCATTGTTTGTATGTGGTGCTGAGGATCGAACCCGGGCTACAGGCATGCCAGGCGAGCGCGCTGCCGCTTGAGCCACATCCCCAGCCCCTTGAAGTTTCTCTTATTTCCTTTCTTTTCTTTTTTTTAATTAGGGATGGATCTCAGGGCCTCCTGCATGTTAGGTAAGTGCTCTACCACTGAGCTATACCCCCAGGCCATCTTTTTTTTTTTTTTATCTTCTGTCATATCCCATGATCATTTTTCTTTTGAGATTGCTGTCTTTTATGCTGGGCACAGTGGTGTTCATCTGTAATCCCAGTGACTTGGGAGGCTGAGGCAGGAGGATTGCAAGTTCGAAACCAGCCTCAGCAATTTAGCAAGACCCTAAGCAATTTAGTGAGACCCTGTCTTTTTTTAATATTTAGTTTTTTGTTGTAGTTGGACACAATACCTGTTTTGTTTTTATATGGTACTGAGGATCGAACCCAGGGCCTCACACGTGCTAGGTGAGCTCTCTACTCCTGAGCTACAACCCCAGCCCCAGACCCTGTCTTAAAATAAAAAAATAAAAAAGGGCTGGGGATGTGACTCAGTGGTTAAGCACCCATAGGTTTAATTCCTAGTATAAAGAAAGACAGAAAAAACAAAAAGGAAAAAATTGATTTTCAAGAATTCCTTGAAATTTTGAAATATGAATATCTCCATAGCTTTATATACTTTTAATATCTTCCATTTTGAAATCTGGTTTAAAAATTTGCCTACAAATTTGCTTTGTTAAGTAGATTTTTTGTGGTGTTTGTGTTTTTGCGTTGCT